TGGATACTTGGTACAAATTATTTTCATCTGGTGTATTATTTTCTAAGTATTATAATACATTCCTTACATTCTAAATAGGTGGTTTCATTTTCTTGTCCTTTGCAACTGAAATAGCTTTTAAAATATGTTTTATAAGAAAGTTAGATGCCAATGTAGTATTACTTGATAATTTGGTAAAAGTAGAAATAACAGATTTATGGACTAGTATAGTTCGATAAGCCAGACCTTCGCTGTTGTGTAAATACGCCAGGTAACGAGCAACTTGTTCTGGACTCGCATCTCTGTAAGAAGAATTGTTAGAGGAGCACCATAACTTCCATTTGTTCCATGCTGGCATGTAGGTGTTTATTGTAGATCGCCGCCAACTTGACACTAACAGTGATCTTTCTTCTACTGACCATTCTTTGATTTCGTCTGTCCACCCAAAATCAGCCAGGCTTCCAAATGAATGTCTTGAATCTCTGGCGGGTGCGTTCCGGTTTTCGTGTCGATCAGAAGTTGTGGAAGGCGCAGGATGTGATAAGGTTTTTGAATGACCCGGGCTTGTAGGTCTGCTCGCCAAAATACCATCTTCCACTTCGGAGCGATCAAGATGTACTAACCTTTCGCTGTGTTCAGGTGAGACAATACTTGGGGTATTAGGTTCGGTGGAGGAAATAGCCACGCAAGTTCGTAGTCCCACTGGTGAAGGAATGCGTTGTGAAACAGAGCCTGCTGGTCTTGCGTGTCCAGCGATACATACCTCATTACTACGTGAGCTGTTTCCGACGCAAATAAGTCTACTTGCGGTGTGCCCCACATCTTGAATATGTTGTCCGTTGCTGTAGAGAGTAGGTGCCACTCGGGGCTGACCTTGCCGCGTGATAGGGCATCCACTTTGCAATTGAGTCGGCCCGAAATTGCAGGGTTCGACAATGTAACCTCCCTCTGCGTATTACAAAAGAGGCGAAGTTGAGTCTCCCCAGAAGGGACTGGGCCTGTCTGAGGGACCAACTGCCTCTGGACATCTGACTGAGAAGTGCTTTGCGTAGCGTTTCACACTTCGGTCCCGACAGGGACTTCGTGTTAGTAACTCCAGGCGTTGTGTCGGAACCAGTACAGACTTGTCCATATTGATAGTCCAGCCAAAGTGTCTCATTAGGTTCACCATAAATGTAATGTGTTCGCGTAAAACTTGACAGGACTGATTCACTATTAAAAAATCTTCTAGGTATACCACGCACCTCATATTTCGCCTTCTCAGGAACTCGGCTATCCAGTTCGTCAAGGATGTGAACGTTCGTGGCGCTGATAAAAGGCCGAAAGGAAGGCAAGTCATTTGTAGAAGTTGGCCTTTGTAGCCGAGTCTCAGAAATCGCCTGTGTTCTTCGGCTATGGGAAGGTGAAAATATGCCTGGCTGAGATCTACCTTCACCATCCAATCGTTGCTCTGTAAAAAGTGTAAGCTTGGAACTCGGAAATGACTGAAAATCTGAAAACCTTTTAGTTTGACAAAACGGTTTAGGCTCTTCAAATTGAAGATTGGGCGAAACGATCCGTCCGTTTTCGGAACTAGAAAAAATGTTGATAGGTAGCTGGGATTGATCTCGGCTTTTTCTAGTACATGCGTGTCTATCATATTTTTTATTAGCTGTGTCATATGATAACTCTGCTTTGTCTCGTAATTTATTATGACAGATTGATTTGGATATATAAGGGGCGGCTTCATCACGAAAGGAATACGTATTCCCTTGAGAAGTTTGCATATGTGGTTGGGCGCACCTAAGTTCTCCCATGCATGTATATATTGCTTTAGACAGCCGACCCGAAATGATTGCGAGTCATGATCGATTGTTTCTATTTGATGAGTTGTAATTTGATTTCTTGACGAATTGTGGTGTTTGTTCTTGCCATTGGACGTTTTGTTGCCGGATGCCCTCGAGTGACCCTTAAACTTATCTTTCGACGCTGAAGTATTTTTACGAAAAAAGTTTTCACTCTCTTGCTTGCTTGTCGATGGTTTCGACTGGTTATCGTACGCACGCCTCTGGCCGGTAGCTGTAGCTGCAGCTGCAGTTTGCTGTGTTGGCTGGAAGCAAGTGGTTAGTTTTTCGGACCCCCCCCAATTTTTTGAAGGTAGGCTGCAAGCATATCGTTGTGAAACAAATGTTCAGCACTGGGTGGAATTTTTTGCAACGCCCCACAGTGATATTCCTCCCAAATTTTCTTAATTAATAAATCTCTGCGCATGCTAATGCAGTCGGCTCGACGGCCGCAACATATTTGTAAAATATCATCGGTCACTTTTGTATAGCTCGAATCTTTATAAAACATTTGTTCAATCTTATCGAAAAGAGATCGTGGTGTAAGCGTTGTACTCTTATCATTAGACCAATAGACTAAACCTTGCAAAGTTGTGCGCAATTCGTCTTTCCGAGTCAGTATAGCATTGGATAAAGCTGCAAAAGTTCTCTCTCTATCAAGTACAAACGATCATCGTTAGACTTAGACGCATCATCATCTCAGTTCATCGTTTACATTGAGTTCTACAAAACCCGGAGTAGTGACGTACTTTTTCTGAGCTTCAGAAAAACGAATTGCATGCCAGTCATTACATTTAAAGCGCTGAATTTGGGTTATTTTTTCTTAATGTTTATCATTAGACTTAGGGAATGGCGGATCTTTTAACGTAGTTGATAGCTCCGACAATTGGAGTTGTTGATTATCCGCATCACTCGTGCTTGGCGGTGGGCGTAGACCCAACTCGTTTGTTGTATCATTGTTAGGTCCATTTATTACCTCGGCAACCAACGAAGTACTCGTTTGAGGCTCAGTGTTTTTGCGAAATCAAATTCGTTAGAAAAGCCACTTGATGAGAAAGGATTTCAAACTGTGCGTCACTTACTTGGTTAGACCGCCTGTTTCTCCTCTTATCCGGACTAGAGTCCTCCGATGATGTACTGCTCGACCTTGAAGAACGACTTCTCTTCCGTGACACATGTTCACCATCACTTTGTTTTTTATCAAAATATATTTCGTCTTCCCTTACGAGAGGATTTCACTACGTATTCAATTTACATTAAGTTATTCGATTTATTTAAATGAAAATTAAAATAATGATTGCTAGACGTGTTAACGCTACGAAAAACGACGCTGTAATGAGGTAAAAGTCGAGCGCCATGCGGATCGCCGCCACCCTAACCCATAAAACGAGGCGACAGTGGCGCCGGAAGTCGAAGAGAGGAAGTTGCTAGGACGAAAAACGTGAAAAAGACAGGTGCTTGACTCAAGATGGATTCCGGATATCGTCACGGAACAAATAATATTTGTTTGTTCCGGGTTAACATAGAAAACACTGAACAGAATTAAACACTTATAGATAGCGAGTATCCTGGACTATAGAGTAGGGGTCTTTTAGAACTTTTTTCATTCTATATATTTTCGAGAAGCGAAGGCCTAAAAAAGGCTTTGGAGCTACAAGAAGAATTTTTTGTATGTGCTTAATAAATGAAAATACAGTGGGGTTAATTTTTTTTTGCTGCACTCAATTATTTGTACTTATATCGCAACAGTTTTGTAAAGCAAGAAAACAATAAAGTTTCTCTAACGCTTATAGAATTTGTAAGCAAACATGAGTAAGTTGAGTGAGTCAGGTAAGGCCATGTCAGTCACTTTTCTAGTTTGGTTGGAGACACATCCTTTTGGTTTCTATTATGTTTCGCGTGTTGTGACTTGTGCGTTTGTAATCCGGCCGATTGTATTCATTGTTGATACAGGTGTGAATCGTTAAATAGGTGAGTTTTGTCGGTTTACTATTCATATGCTTATGATACGTGAATCTGTAGGTACTTCGTTTCCTCCTGAGAGTCGCCGCTCTTGACCCTCTCGATGACTCGTTCTTTGCAAGGATGAAATTATATAGTTAGTAATCATTATATGTATTTGATTAAAATTAATTATTTGATTACGATAAATTAAATCATACTTCTTACTATTTGACTTTATATATAAATGCGAATGTTTGAATGGATATTTGTTTGAAGGTATCTCCAGAACAGCTGAACGAATCTCGACGAAATTTGGCATACGTACAAGGTCTGGAAGAACACATAGGCTACTAATTATGTTTTATTTTAATACCGAGCCGACGGTGTCGCTAGCGACTGCTAATCCAAAGTATACAAAAGATTATAGGTAATATTTAATTAAATTGTATAATTGTGCTCCACAAATTCTTCATCATATTACCTCAAACATTCTGGGTAAAATACGAATCTAATGATACCTAACTCTTTGAAATTCGTCCAACCGATAAGGCTATAGGAAGTAACAAAAACGTCGAATAAATCAGTACTGTGGACATTTAGTATTCCGTTCAAAAGCGCCTTGCTGTCTACACTTTTAAGAGTAACGTTGAGAAACAGCATTGACAAATCCGTGTCTCTACTATGAATACCAATTGCTAAACGTTCACGAAAAGATTACCACAAGATCTGTTGCACTTTCTACCACGAAGCGACAACAGACAGACTGAAGACGAAAGTTGTTTGTGAACTTAAGTACTCGTATCTGATAAAACTGTTCGATTATTTTTTATTATAAATGTAAGTAAAGAAATTAATTAAACCTTTAATCAATAAAAAAAACGAATTATGAACCTCCTTATGTGGTTCTCGGTACGTCTGTATTTTTTTTATTTTTTATAGATTTTTTTTTAAACTTGTTCGCTTTTACTTTTTATTGAGACGTAACAACAAGAATATAGTAATGAGTGCTTATAATTTTGGGCGTCCTTCGGATTTACGAAATTTTAAAAGCTTAAATTACGATTGTGCTTACCCTTATCTTACAAAAAATTACTAATCGAGGGTAAACCCCTTTGGTAATATCTTTTATATATATCTAGAGTAGCATAGCTATCCGTAGTGTGCCAACATACAACAATAAAAGCCTGTACTTTTTTAAATCCTAATTAATCTTTTTATTTTTTTATGTCTCATAAATTTATTATTTATTTCCAGCGGCAGTGTACATAGCGGGTGTGGTGGCAGTCATCGGCGTGACTGTACTGGGCGTGTTCTGCATACTGTCAGTACTGCAACTAGCGATGATCTCTTCAAAGGAGAAAGTGGGAATAAAGTACACACATCTCGTCATGATGAAGTTAGCGCTCGCGTTACTGGCAAGTAAGTATTGTAACAGACTAGTTTTATCGTGTAGTTTGACTCGATAGATGAATGTTTGTTAGGAACTCAGCAGCAAGTCTCCAGAACGGCTGAGCGGATCTCGAAGAAATTTGGCATTAATGTAGAAAAGAGTCTGAAAGAACACATAAGCTACTTATTAAGTTTTTTTAATTGAACGCGGACGGAATCGCGGGCAATAGCTAGTGTCTGGTAAAATTGAGAAACTTACCTGTGCAGTTTTGTCGTTCTCGATTAAGTTTTTATATTTTTTCATTACTTTTTGGTCAAATCTTTATAAAAAGTACCCCTATATTCTTCCTCAATAACTATGGGTATATATCTTGTATTGGGGGTGACCAAAAGTTCAAACAACAATATTCCTTGCACTCGTTTGTTCATCAAACCGTTTTAGAATGATTACGTCAATTGCCGATACTTATCACCTTAGAGTGCTTTTCAGTTGTCGACTATTCAACTAATGAATCCGTCTCCGTGGTTGTTTTCACATTTATACCTTCACTCTATACACCAATCCAACGGAACCGGACGTTCGTTCAGTTGTCGTATTAAAATAGTAAATAATTTAGTAACGATTCAACAATATAATCTAAAATCATAAAACCGATTATGATTAATTTACGAATGATTAAAACAATTATGTATTTTCAACTCGATACAAATAAAAGTAAATTATTAAGCTTAAGGAAGCTAATCAATTGCGCAACTAGTCTTGAGTCAATGCAAATACCATTACTACATGAATTACGCCGTCAATGACTATTTAATTATAAGATAGGCACGAAGGACTCACTTGTTACTTTCTAATTATTGAAGGAAATTCGTTTAACAATAAAATACTAAAGTGAATTTTATGTTTATGTGAAGATTATGGTTTACGATTTATTAATCAAAATTAATAAATATTAATTTGAATTTCAGCATTGCTGTCAATAGCAGCGGCGGGTCTGTTCGCTGTCCAAGTCGATGACAGAGGATTTTATCAAACGAGAGGAGAAGCGTTTTATGTTCAGGTAATAACTTTGATATATTATCGTTATATAATAAAGTATCCAGAGCATTCATCAAATGCAAAGCATTTCTCATAAGATTTCGTAGTCTTTTATGTAAGAAAAAAAAGAAAAATTAGTTGAAGATTTTCTTCTAAGTTTTATGTTCTGATATTTCGTGACCTGATTTAATTTCTTTAAAATAACATAACTCTATTTTATTTCAATACTAAATATCTAAAAATTAACCAAATCTATCCATATCAGGAAGTTTACAAAAAACTTGAGCACAATAATTGTAATTATAATATTTTCTCCAACTTTATATCTTAATAATATTATAAATGCGAATGTTTACATGAATGGATGATTGGAAGAAGCTCCAGAACGACTGTATGGATCTCGCTGAAATTAGGCATAGATGTAGAACAAAATTTGGTTTTTATTTTCATTCCGCGTGGACGGAGTCGCGGGCGACAGCTAGTAATATTATAAATGCGAATGTTTTAATGTTTGGATGTTTGTTAGAAGATATCTCCAGAAATTAGGCATAGAAGTACAACATAGTCTGGAAGAACACATAGGCTACTAATTATGTTTTATTTTTTTTTACCGCGCGAACGGAGTCGCAGGCGACAGCTATAATATGGTGTAATTTATATTTTTCCAGATCGTTTCCATAGTAATAAACTCTGTGTTGTTCATAATGTCGCTATACGACACGTTGTTCTCGCGGCGCGCGGGCGGGGACCCGACCAATGCGCACGCGCATCCTGAAGGAGGAACTACTATAAATAATCCAGGATTTAAGGAGGGTAGAGGTTAGTAAAACTAAATACTGTGTTTTTAAAACTGGTCATTCATCACTAGAGCGTCGGTGGCTCAGGGGTTAAGCACTAGGCTTGTGATCTGCAAATCTTAGGTTCGAACCCCACGAAGTACCAATGTGTCTTTCGATTTACATATGTATATTTATCCGACGTTCTTACGGTGAAGGAAAACATAGTGATGCAACCTGCACATATCTGAGAAGAAATTCAAAGATATGTGTGAAGTGAACCCGCACTTGGCCAGCGTGCTAGCCTAATCAAACCTAAATTAAGGTAGGCTCCGAACCCCTCACTGGTACCGTATAGTAAGCTGATGATGATAATTCACTCCTAACTTAATCTGAATTGCATTGAACATTTTTTCTAACTAAGATAAGAATGTTGCTTTAATTGCCTCAAATTCTACCAAAATTTCCTCGAATACAAAATAAATAATACCAGTTTGAATTCAATCTAAAGTTGTAATTTGAAGAATAATATTATATCTTATATCCCTAGGTATATCAATGACGGATGCATCAGGCAAACCGTACAGTACCAACGGTCACGGTAGCGTGGCCTCCATGAATACAACCGCAACCACATTGACTGGTCTCTCTGACGCCAGCACCATCACCAGATCCCCACTAAGGTCCTCGCTAAAGAAGCCCAGGCCAAGAGAAGGGGAACCCGGAGGTCTGGGCATACACAACCCAGGGTACTCTGGACATTCACCACCCTTGAACAGGAATGGTAGCCAGAAAAAAGTACGTATACAAACTCATAGTACTGAAGTATGATTTAAAAAAAAAACATTTGTTAAACTTAAAAAATTATAAGTTTTTCATTTTTTTTAATTAAATGTGAATTTCACTTGTAAAAAAATATTTTTTCGTCTCTAAATGCTGGTTATAGCTTAAAAAATTCTTAAAACTAGTTTTTTGGAATTTCTCGAATAAGAATTGGAAAAAATAAGTGTGACCCTTGATTTACAAACATTGTCTTGATGTAGAATAACTTACAACATATACATAGTGTATATTATTTACTTTCACTTACAAATATATAAATTTTTTAACACATTTAATGCCACTGCCAAAATAGTTATTACATGGACTCGCAGAGCGAGTGAGTAGCATTGAATGTGTTAACAATGACATAAAAAGGATTCCCAAACAATATTACATACTGTGAAATTTCTCTTGAATTTAAATTGTGTAAAAAATAAAATGTGCAACTTAACCTTTCCGCAGCCAACTCAAAAACATATAACTAACAACGATATGTTATTTTAAGTGTTTTGGAAGTGGAAATTACCTTAAGTTTGCCTGAAAATGCAAGTTTGGGGTCCTTAAGTTTAATAATATTAGTAAATAGTAATTTATCTCAAAGTAGATTAAAAAAAATTGTTCAAAAGTACTGTTCGCACATACATTAAGTAAATGGTATATACACCATGTATAGTCAAGTATATAAAATTATATAGTTAATGTTTATTTGAAAATTAAATTTAAAAATGTTTGTTATTGTCTATAACATCACAGTGGTTGTATTTTTTTTTTGTTAAATGTCATAAAATAATTGAAAAAAAAAGGAATTTTTTATAGAATTTTAGAAAAAATTTCTCCATTATTATTTGTTACCAAACTTTGAAAATTATCACAATTTTATAGTAACATTTTATTATTCCTTTACACTATTTTATTTGATTAAATGATTTCATAATAATTTATGACTTAATTGAAAAAAAAATAAAAAATAAGCATCACAAAAAGTTAAATCAATCTATAAATAAAATACAAAAAGAATTCTATAGATTTTTGTGGATTTATTTCTTTACAGAAATTATTTTTTAATTATTTGTATATAAAAATGCCTTCTAAATAAATGTTTGTTTAAGCAAAGTTTAATGCCTTTTTGGCATTTTAATTATATTTTAATGAATTAATAATTTTATTATATTATATATCATTATTTTTAAGCTTGATTTTTTTTTAAAAATTGTAAATTTACATTATATTTTTCTAAGTGCAATTTATCACAATCTTTATGTATATTTTGATTGAACAAAGTTCTTTATTTACATAGTTTGTATATAATCGGCACAAAGTGTTTATCACGAAGAATATTTAAAAAAAAATCAATACATAATTCGTTGTAAATTTTGTGACGCACGATATTTTAATTATTTACCTTAATATTAGTTGCAATATAGAGAAAAGTAAGACTTTATGAATAAGTTTTGTAAATAGATAAAAAAGAATCTTATAGATAGCAGCTATAGTCTCAAAATTGAACGCACACAGAAACTAAAAGCATGTCCTTGGATAATAAAGCCCTGGAAAATTCATAGAATAAAATACAATGATCACACACAAAAAACATGTCTACACACAACAGACTCGCATTTTTAATCACCAATGCTTGTCAGATTTACCTTTGGTTCCGGACATCAAAATCTGTCATGTATACATATAGTTATCCCTGTCATTATCTTTGACAAAATAGAGATAACAATATCTTTGAAACAGAGATTTTGGTCTCAGAAACCTATGGATAGTAGTTTTAATTAAAATTTATACTATCATACATAATAAGAATCTTATAGCTAAAATTCCAATACCATAGTGAAAAATAGTATGTGCTTAAGTCTCCCACCCTAACTATTCTTTACCTAAATTGTCTCAACTTTCAAAATATAAATAATGCCTTAAGAGATGTAACTCTTTTCCTCAGATTGGTCGGTACTGTTAGGAAGAAAATCCGACACTGTGCCGGTGTACTGGCACAACACTAGACTTATTAAAATGTCGACGTTTATTTTCCCTTACTAATCATTCTGACATTTGCTTTGTCTTAAAGGACATATAAAGTTAATGACTTTAATAAATTATACTCTAATCAACTTTGATCACTGCTTATAACATGAAAGTATACATTCCAGTATGAAATATACATTAAAATTTGTATACTATAGCTGTTATCTGTAACGATTTATAATTGTAAATGGAACCCACCAGTTTCTCTTACTCGGAATCATATTTCTTTAGTTGAAAATCAACAATTTATAAATATTAATGTAAAAAAAATATTGTGCCTTCTTCTTTGCATAAAATGTGCCTTAAACATTTCGCCTTTTTATTTAAGTAAAATTGATTTATTTATGTTAACCCTAGTTATTTTTATTTCCGTCCAATATTCTGGTCTTATTTTTTAAGATTTTTCAAATTGCAACAATTTCTATATTATGTCGTTGTTATAGTATTTAGAGATTTTTCTTTAAATCTCATTAAAATTTGTATAATTAGACAATGATTTTCGAATCTCTTTTTAATTATTAAATTTATTTTAACGTTGTTAATAAATTGAGTTGAAATGATGTAATTTGATCCGCTATTGTATACAAAAAGCCATATTTCGCTTTCATGTTTGAAATATAATAATTATAGTAATTCAACGATTATTAATTTAAAAAAAATCCTGGATTATTCTAAAATATTGTTGCAACATAATACCTAAGTATTATATAAAAAAAGAATGTTTATTATTGTTATAAAATGCCTTTTAACCGTGGATTTTCACTGATGTAAGATTACATGTATCCACAAAATGTCAAAGTGTTTTTGTATCAGTATTTCGGCAGTGAAAACTCACGATAAACAAATGTATTTGCCAAGCAACATTATCATTTAGTTGTATTAATTTACTATGATTTTGAGAATTTCATACTTATATGTATTTTTCAGGTATTTAATGATAATAATTTTAATCATTTTAATGACATTTTACTTAATTGGGACCAATGATTTGTTTGAAATGTTTTTTATCTCTGAATCATAGTCATTTCTCTTACCACATCTCCGTCTGATCTATTGTTTTATTTTATATTTGTTTTATTGAAGATTAAAGTTAGAATTTGCTGAGTTTGTGTTTAATTTAACCTTATTCCAATGTTCTTCTAGTACTATGAACCCCATAACAAAACAAAGTAAACTAACCTATTGGTTTCTGAGACCAAAAAAGAGAAAAATATGTTTTAAATAGGGATTTTGGTCTCGGAAGCCCGAAGTAAATGAATTTACTTAATTTTACCAACTAGTTTATGTAAATGTAAAGAAATGTTCAAATACCATTTATTGACATATTTCATTTTTTAATTTATGTTTAGTAAAAATTGTTAAATAATCAAGGAAAAAGAACAAGACATATTTTGTGAAAAATAATTTATTTCTCCCTTTCTCTTTGTCATAAATTCCTTAAATTTGTTTATGCATACATTGTACCAAGTTTTTCAGATTTACAAAATAAAAAGGTAGTCAATATGATTGATAGAAACCAAATATACTAAAAATACTGAATAAAATAATGAATGTGTGGATAATGGATATTATATTGAAACTGCACATTTTTTACAAATATTACATAAACAGTTTTACTGAAAAACTCTTACGCTTAAAATACTGGTCACTAACACAATATTATTTTTAATTGTCCTATAATTACTATTCAATACCTCCTAAATTGTTTTTTAAACCTTTCATAATGATAATCGTCAGTAGCTCGTTCCCCTTTTGCTTTCTTAACAATTTTATCAACATTTTCATCTATTACATTAGTTTCCGTCTTTACTTCAACCTTTTCTACTTTTCTTTTCTTTGAATTATCGTCTATATTAAACCTATTGTGTTGTACAAAATTTACTGCCATGTTAGTTGGGACAAATTGTGATGGGCCATCTTTTTTATTATGACGTTCCCATAATAATTTCATTTTTGCTTCTTCGGTTGCTTCAATGTTTTTAATCTTTGCGTCAATACCTAAATCAACTTCTGGTATACCGCTGAGCATTTGATTTGATAACATCTCCTCCGATCTAGGCATTGAAGATACCCTTAAATGTTCAGGAAGTGAGAGTAAAGCTGCTTCTTCAGGGGATAAGTATTTTAATGTATCATTATTTTCAGATTCCTTTTTGTCATCAATTTTTCCCTCTGAAAAAAAAACAAACTTAAGTTGCTGTTGACCTAAACAAAACTAAAAGAAATAGTTTTGCTTGTATAGTAAATGTGAACTATTAACCTTTTAATGAACCTCAACTGAGATGACAATTTTTTTTTAAGATAGAAAAACAAATTACCTTTTCTTTTAGCTAACTGTTCTTCAATATATTTCATCATTTCTTCATCTTCATCGCGTTTATTAGTTTCTGCTGAAAACTGTGTTCCAATTCCCGTGTCGTATGCATCATCTACTTGTTTCACTTTACCACTTTTTAGCGCTTGCATGTTTACAATTCCACCACTTTTTATTTTGAAGGGATCTTTACAAACTATCTCTTCTTCCAATGTAACTTTTTGACCAGTCGCTAAAGCAACTATGCTGACGCCGTTCGGTCGTTCTCGAAGCTTCTGAGCCTCTTTTGCTTCCTCCAATCTAGCTAGTATCACCTGTTCATCTTCAGAATCATCGTCTTCCACTTTAACTCGTTGCCGTATGTTTCTCCTTTTTTTGGGTTTAAACTTTACTTCCTCGGCAGCTGAAGAGTTTTCTGAAGAATCCTCCATTGTTACTAATATGCAAATAAATAGATTGCAAATTCAAAATTTTATGTCGTGATGCGATTTTGTATTTTGTTTGTTGACGTTGACGTGTGTCAAATGTCAGAAGCCAAAAATTGTGCATCAAAGAGCAAACACACATTGCAGATACAAAAAGTCCCTATACGATCACCCATCAAGATAAAGAATTTTTATTTGTCAATAAAAATTATAAAAAGCCTTATCAAATCTTAGGGATTATTACGACAATAACTTATTATAATCCGTAGTGGTAGTAAAAACGATGTATTTCTTCTTTTTGTTGTTGAATTTAGTGATATAGTAAAAGCAGTCTTATCTAAATCTGCTAAGATTCAAAGTTGAGGGTCTAATATTGTTATCATAAAAAGTCAATGCAACCGTGCAAGAGAAGTGCCTTGTTGACATCGTTATCATTTATCAGTTGCCGTTCGGTTGTGCGTTTCAAGAATTTATTACTTTGAATAAAAAATACCTACCCAGTTTTCTTCTCACGACTTGAGAGTTCATAGTCCACTGTTGCGAACTGATTAAACTGTGAAAATAAAGACGTGTTTAGTAACAAGTGTGGATTTAATATTCCTTTTAAATGCAAATAACATAAAATTTCCTTGTTATAAAAATGACCAAAATAATTTTATTACAATCACCGCCGCCAAAATTAGTAGATGTTCAAAAGTCTGTGTTCTGTCAAGATGCATTAGAATTTGTCTCAAAGTTGCACAGAACTTTTGACTTTGAAATAGAAAAACTTTACAAAGATAGATTTGCAAGAAATGCCGCTATTCAAACTCGGAATTCTCTGGACTTCAAGATATCGCCCGAAAGAAATGATACAACATGGAAAGTGGGACCAATTCCTTCAAGATTACAGTATGTACATGTAATATAAAACGTAATTTTTAAACATAACTTGATAAAAATATTTAAAGAACTTTTACAGAAATCGTCATTTAGATTTAGGTGATGTATCGCCATCGAACGCTGCGCATTTTATTGAAGCGGTAAACTCCGACGTTCAAGGTATCCAAGTTGATTTTGATGATGGTCATTGCCCGACATGGAGAAACCAATTGCTTGCTTATCACAACATCAATTTACTTGTTAATGGAAAACTTCCCGGAGCTCCGCCAAGTATCAGTACATGTCCAGTGTTAATGCTTAGACCAAGGGCTTGGAATATGATAGATCATGATATACTGGTTAGTAAAATATTATGTTAATTGTAAGTACCTCTCTGTATCAATTTGTTCTTATATCTTTAATATTAGTAACTACATACAAAACTGGCCATATTCCACTTATGTGGGTTTGGCTCACAAAGATTTATATATATATATATAAATCTTAATGTTTTGGGCCAATTTTTTATAGCCGGCCGGTGCCTGTTGCTAAACCCTACTTAAGAGGAATGAATTTAAATTAAATATTTTAAATAAATAAAAAAAAAGTGTACCTATTTGGATGACCAGTGTTTGTAACCCTTATTGTATTGTTTCAATTAATTTTGTATTAATTATTTTTACTGTAACATTCAAAATATTAATTTATTTTTAGATAGAAGGTAAAGAAGCAATCGGCCCATTGGTGGACTTTGGTATTTTGATGTATCATAATGCTAAGAAATTATATGAAGCCAACAGTGGACCATACTTTTATCTTTCTAAGTTAGAAGGTTCATCAGAAGCAAAGTTATGGAATGAAATATTTGTATGGGCACAGAATGAACTCAATTTGCCGTACGGTACTATAAAAGCTTGTGTTTTAATTGAGAATATTTTATCTACTTTTGAATTAGAAGAAATTCTATATGCATTAAAGGATCATTCATTAGGCCTTAATTGTGGAATTTGGGATTATTGTGCATCTATAATTTCAAAATTTGGTAAGTTACTTCATAACTTTACATATGGTCAAAGTGCCCAACTGTAAAAAATAACTCTTGTTTGTAGCTTTATAAGAATGGATAACAATAGTATAGTTTAGTTCTTTTAAATCTTTATTTATTTCCAATTTTTTTTCGCTTTCATCAAATCAAAAAAGCTTTTCTTTCATATTTAAAAAGTATATATTCTGTAGGTGATCGAAAAGAGTTTCTACTACCTGACAGGAATAAATATGTGAACATGGACCGTCACTTTCTGAATAGCTACATGAAGCTAGTTGTGAAGACGTGTCACGCGCGGGGCGCTCCGGCCACAGGCGGTATGGCCGCCGCCATGCTGAAGCCAGGCTCTAATGGAACTGATGATGAGTAAGAAACCAAGTAGCCTAATAATTATGGGTACCTATTACCAATATTGGGGTAGTAGATTCGATTTCCGTCAAACTATTGATGTGATAGATATCTGAGCAGTAGCTTCATTTGGACAAGAAAAATTGGTATATAATAAAAAAAAAACTTTTTCTTTTGCTCAAAACATCGATTGATTTTGACCAATTCTAATGTATAAAAAAGTACAGAATATAAAAACCTATTCTTAATTTAAAATTTAATTTTAGATCAAAAATCATCATCAATAAAGTATTGGAGGCAAAGTTAAAGGAAATAAAAATTGGCGTTGATGGATTTATGGTTTATGATGTTAGATTGGTGCCTTACGTAAATGAGGTAGGTAGTTTTATAAATCCAATCCAATCTCACTAATATTAATACTAATGTTTAGATGGATAGATGTTTGTTTAAAGGTATCTCCGGAACCGCTGAACAGATCTCGATGAAATTTGGCATACACATAGAACATACTCTGGAAGAACACATAGGCCAATTATGTTTTTTTTTTATAATTCTGCGCAGAAGGAGTCGCGCTCGACTGCTTGTTCATATATAAAAGCTTTTTGCTACATTTAACATTGCCAGGATAAAAAAATATTGAAACATTTTTTCACTTGATGTTGCTCTTTTAGGGCAATTAATTTCTTTTAAGAGGAAGCTTATAAGTTAAACCGTTTAACTTTTTACTATTCATGAATGGGAGTTAATCATTAGGAAAACAAATCTAAAGAGGTTTTTATGTCAAACTTCGAGACAACTCGGAAGTTTAATTTCAATACAAATGCTGAATAAAAAAGATAATCATTTTACACTAAATTAAATTGCATTATTGCATGCGTATTTGTTTTTCCTTACACTGGATTTCCACTATCGTAAGCCTCGTGAACATTAAGTTTTTTTAAAGATACTAGCTGTCGCCCGCGACTCCGTCCGGGCGGGATTAAAAATAGATGTTGGTCGAATCTCAGACCTACTCAATATACTCAATTCAATGAGAATCGGTCAAACCGTTTCGGAGGAGTATGGGAACGAAAATTGTGACACGAGAATTTTATATATAAGATTGAATGGGATAACAATAGGGTTTTGTATGTCTTTCTCTGTCTAACTTTCAATGCATGAATGCATAAGTAGCTAAGCGATCGTAAGAACGCAATTCTTTATGATAACCTATGACCTTGACACGACAACGACTAGTGTTTTATGGACGTTTTACTGATATTAAACATAACGACACGTAAATTTATAATTTTACCTACAAATGAAGAATACATTTTCACTTTTCGTAATTTTCTTCCCATCTCATATTTCGCAAGTATTTGTAACTTGATAGATTTATAAAAAAACAGAGACAAAGACTAGTTATCGCGTAAATAAAAATAAACTATTTAGTATTATATATCAAAATTCATCCAGATTCGTTCAGCCGTTGTTGCTTAGTGGTAAAAAACATCTATACTAATCATCATACTACCAAATTTTGGCATTCGAAATGTTAAGGTAATGCCTGGTTTACATTTTTCCAGTACAGTAAGACAGTAGCATTCAAAATCGGCGCTGGCATAATGTAAAAACTAACTGGAGGGAGCTTATACTGTCCTACTGCACTGGCATAATGTAAACTTGACATAAATTGTAAAATTTAATTCCTATTCCAGCTTTGGAAAAAGAATGGTACAACGCCTAATCAAATAACACGGCAAATAAACACCAACGTGATTGCATTAGATCTTTTAACAATTCCACAAGGAGGTGTGACTTCACAAGGCATTAAACATAATGTGGCCGTTACTATATTGTTCATATACCACTGGTTGGCTGGTATTGGACATTTCTTTTATAACGGTAATGTTGAAGATTCAGCCACCGCGGAGATATCTAGAGCACAAATATGGCAGTGGATAAGGTTTTCCGTAAGTTTTGTTGACTAAAATAAAATCATATGAGAGGCTCGGAGCTTATCTTAAGTTAGTAATGACTAGGCCTTAGTCAACCACGCTGGCCCAGCGCGGGTGAACTTCACACATATATTTGAATCGATTCTCAGTTCTGTGCAGGTTGCATCACGATGTTTTTGTTCACTGTAAAAACATCGGATAAATGTACATATGTAAATCGAATCATCGGTAAATGACGGGATTCGAACCCAAGACCTGCAGATGATGAGTCAATAGCTTAATCTTTCACTCAAGAGTTCTGTTAACACATTCAAATACAAATTTCTATATTCCAGCCGCCTCTTGAAGATGATCCAAATGAACAAGTCACACCAAACTTAATAGAAAAGACAGCATCCAGTTTCGCTGCGCACGCGCGTAAGAACCTTTGCAGATCTAGTGCGGAACGGAAAAGATTAACCGCTGCTAAATATATGAGCTTGGAAATATTCTATTCACGTAATCCACCTGAATTTATTACAAGTTATTTGAACGACAATCATAAATTCCGTACACTACATAATAAGGAGCTTCTGAGTAACTTATAATATTACCTCTGTCTACCCCATTTGGAAACATCAAGGTAAGTATCAAATGTGAGTTATTTCAGTAGTTATTTGCAAAAGTTACAGAGGAGAGACTGTGAATGGGACGCATCATCATCATCAGCTCACTATACGTCCCCACCGAGGGGCTCGGAGCCTACCCTAAGTTGAGGGTGATTAGTCCATAGTCAATGGGACGCATAGGAAGGGGAAATATGTTGAAGTGCGTCCACTCAGTTGTTGAGTAGGCATGCAGATGTCTATGGGCAATAGTAATTTCATTATATTGATGAATTTAGGTGACCTTTTTCGTTTGCCACATACTATAAAAAAAAAAAGTTAGAAATAAGTTTTGTTTCTTGAAAACATTCCAAAAATAAAAAATGTGATAGCAATTTACTATGTTATATTTACACAAAAATATTTACCTGATTAAGATTTTTATATTGTTATTTACTGAAATGTTTAAAAAAATGTTATGGGATTTTATAGCTTTAATTATTATTGTGTTGTTTGGGATTAAAATAAAACAAATATTTTTAACAATTAATGTGTTTAACATTTCTCAAAAATATTTTTTTATTTTTAAAATTATTAATATTGAAAATATGCACAAGCTATGTGATGTCTTACGCTAAATACTTTTTAAATACCTAATTATCAAAAGCCTTAATAAATTGTTCTTTTTTAAACTAAATCTATACAAATATTAAAATTAGTGTCTGTATGTCATATCGAAAAAAAATTCGCAAACATATTTACGTTGCAAAGACAAAAAGTAAAGGTATTAAAATCGGAATGTTATAAATAATGCCCATCTACATTATTCCAGTCCAGCGACCGAAATTTGCACTGGATTGCTAATGGAAAATTGCACTGTATGTGCCCATTATTCCAGTTGGAATCCAGCGCTTACTCTCATCGCTGGATTGGAATAGTGTAAATAGGATTAATTTTAAAGACAAATTCAGTTAAAATAAGTCTTTTGTGCTATTATAATAGAACTGGACATTACAAGCACCAAAGTTACACAGATTATTACAAAAATAAAGCGCATTTCTACAATGACAATTGTTTGTACGTTCAAAAACACGCTATCTAATAATAAACTTTGTTATAATTAAGTGATAAAGCTTAGGAAAAAAGGCATTTTTATAACTCGTGAACACAATAACGTGATAGTAATGTTAAACATTCTTAATATACCAAAAAACTTTGGTGTCGTCGTGCTGAAAAATAAAAAAAATATATTTTTTTTATTTTCAAAAAAATATACAAATATTTTTTTGAAAATGAACACAAATGAATATAGTTAAACTTCACATGGAACAGATGTTTCACACTTGTCATGTTATTGTGGTCGCGTTGTATATGCTAAGAGACGGAACAACGTGAGTTCTGTTCGCCGCCTACTCTTTGCCGCAGCAGCGCACGCGCAAAATTCGTGTCCCTCGTTTGTATATCATCATTTTGATCTCGCATTGACATCGCTAAAGCGTGGGCTAAAGCTTCGTCTTCAGTCTGGAATAATTAAGTTTTTTTTTATTATAAAAAAAGATAGAATAGCTGAGCGGAAACTATAATTTAAGCTAGACAATAATACTGAAATAATAAATATTTGTCTATATTATCAACCTTTTACATTAAAAAATGATAATCTTTGATCTAAATATTGTCTATAGATAAAAAAAAATTACCATGTTTCCTTGTATTTCCGCAAATGCTGTGACTGGGACTGCAGCGGGCCGAGGAGTGTTTCGATTTAAGTTTACATTATTTGCCTTCATTCTTGCCATTGCAGCTTCACTGGAATTATTTGAAACTATTAAACCTCAATTCATACTAAATATGGAGGGATGGATGGATGGATATTGGATGTCTCCAAAAAGGCTTAACAAATCTTGATGAAATTTGCCATAGGTGTAAAGAAGAAAAGCTAGTTTACTATAAAATCTTGATCAATAAAAAGAAATATTTTTAAACAGTCGTCTAGTAAATTATGTTTTAACTATGTAAAATGTGGTTGACCAGTATCAAATAAAGATGTAATATGTAACTTACGCAGCCTGTCTTCTCTTAGCAGCCAATTTCCCTTCACAAGCATGGTCAGAGATGTGTCTATGCCTTAAGCAGTAGTTAAGTGAACACTCGCTGCACACAAGAGGTACCATTTCTTTTGTTTTACATCCTTTATATGAACATTTGTTTGTAAATACCTGAAAATTATAAAAATTTATATCATTTTAGTAACAATTAGCTGTCACCTGCGACTCAGTCCATGCAGTACTAAAAAAAACATAATTCATAGCCTATGTTTTCTTCCAGACTATGTTCTACATTTATGCCAAATTTCAATGAGATCCATTCATCCTTTTCAGAGATAGTTTCAACCAAAGGTCTCCATCATCCAGCCGTCCATCCATCCAAACATTTAGCATTATTGTTAGTATGATTTACATTATTGTTCAGTATTGTTGCAATTAGACAAAATGTACCTTACAAAATTAAAAGCAAATATGAATAAGACAGCTATTTGTACAGAATATATTAAGGTATGGAAACAATGTGACTAGCAGAGACAAGGGTTTACAAAAATAATTGAATGAATGTTTACTATTTATGCAAAAAGTAGATTTGTTACAAGGTCAATAAAACTGATATGTGTACATATGACTTCAACAATCATAATGTTGATATGTATTCCGTTCTAATTAGTAAATATCTTTTAATTAAACTGTTAACATTTTTTACTCATATAAAATAAACTTGAGTTTATATACAACAAAGAAAAAATAATAGTTCTTTTTATATTTTTTTCCATATTAATAAAAAAAAGAGATCCAAACCAAAACTCAATTCTTCCATCACTTAAAAACTTGGTTTATACAAAGTTTTATCTAACTACCCAACAAGCTTAGCTAAAATATATGAAGTACCTTTTTCCGTCTTTCTTTAGCAGGATCAGAAGTGCACTGGTTGTCTATATGAGCTCCGACTGCAACATCTGGAGGCTCTCCACGTCGGCCAGGCACTGGTGCACCACATAGCGGACAATCAGGCACCTGAACATCCCGTGTATTCGGCTCCGGACACTCATGTTTAACATATCCAAAGTGTTCAGAGCTGTAAGAAATAATTTGTATTAATGGCAAGGTAACTTTGGTAGTGTTTAAGGTGTGTGTGACTCTAAATGATTAGTCAAATGAAAGTAGTAGTGGAAGGATTGATCTAGAAGATGAAAACTTGGTTCACCAACCCCACAGAAGTAGAAGAAGAGATGGAAAGAAGGATGATAGCAATCAAGAAGTATTAAAAGATGTTATTCTTATCTGAAAAATATACTATGTCATTAGAACTTTTACGCAATAACTATTAAAATTTTCTTGTAAGAATATTTATGACTCATTGATTAATAAAAACTGATTACTCACCAGAATATCTCCTTGCAAGCGCCACATTTCATTGGCAGGAAATCTAAAAAGAAAGTTTCTCATCTTAAGCTGATGTTATAGTTTGCTTTTTACTAATATATAAAGTATATCACTACAAGCGTAAGAAATCCTTACGATTTTCCGTATAAGAAAGTTTAACAAAGAAATGTAACAAATAGTTTTACGTCACTTACCCAATTTGTTGCAAGATTTATATGAACAATTCTTCCCAATATGCGGAAATTCCATTGTAAATTGTTTAAGAAGTCTTGACTCGAACTGGCAATATATTCGACTAACTAAAGTTTCCGAATCATTCTCTTATATATATATATTATAATTAAAGTTCAAAACGAAACTTATTCGTCATTTACCAATGATGAAACGTCAAGTTTTTGACATAACATAATTTGTGTTGCAATATAATGGATTAGAAAATTCTGGAATTCGGATTTCATGAGCCTTTGTTGTAACTATAGAGTATATAAAATACAGCATGTAAATACATATTAAAATAACGTCCTAGCTTTTCAGTCGGCGTAAAGGGTAGACCGACAAGCCAAAAGGAAACATCTAGAAGGTAAAATAAAAGAGATGGACATCCTAATAAGAGTTAAGTTTTACCAAGAGATCCGCAATGTCAAAAAAGGACATCAATTTAACCTACCACACAAGTACTACTTAGCAACGAAAGCAATCTTGTAACTCAAAAAGATATGGCGGAAATATTTTCAGGATCTAAGGCTACTTATTAAGTTTTTTTTTAATTTCACGCGGAGAATCGGATACGCTTGATGAAATAAAAATATTATTACTTTACTTAAATAAATAATTAAAAACTGTAGCTTCGAAAAACGAACAAAACGAGTCGTCAATGGCTTGTTTTGTTCGTTTTGCCCTAATAAACGCTAACCTAACCTACAAAGATTTATAATTCAAGAAGATGAAAAACTAACCCACTCATAACTTATCAAAAGTTAGAGAGGGGTTTGTCAAAAATACTTTAATTTCATTAAAAAATTAGAGACTTTAACGGGAAGGTAGATGAGTTCAAATATCATTTAAACTACGACACTAACTGCCGACTGAGTCAAATTAAATCGCGTTATAAAATATGACTAACACCATCTATGAAGTATTTTTACAAACTTTTACATTTAAACGTAATTTCAGAATTTGATGCTCGAGTTACATCTGAAAAGTTGTTCACGGCACAATTGAAAACAATAAGTAATTTGTAAAAATTAGAAAAATAATCCTCGATTCTACTACTAAGGTATGTACCACAAATAATAATACACGTATATATGCACTTGATTTAAGTTGTTAATAAATTAGTTGAATAAAAATATCTTACGAGTTATAATAATTTCATTGTCACTCGTCATATTGCGCTAAATTTCTTATATTTAGGATTTGCTTAGGTTTTTATTATTAAACTATTATCAAACGACATCTTTTATGTATTTCAGGAACTATCTAAGCTTAGTACCACGAGTCGGTTAGACACGTTTGGTTCTTTCAAAAAATATGTAAAACCTACTTGGCTTGCGCTGACTTGGGCTAGCTTGGGTATAGAAAATAGCATAAAAAAAATATGATGTGACAGTGGTCTATACAATGTCAAATAGATTTTTAGTTTCATCTAATTATAAATTGAATCTTAAAAAAATCATTTTATGTAGAAATAAATAATCAATACCATAATAATTGGATAACATTGGACTTGTATTTTTGTGGAAACCGGTGTCTATTTTTATTATTTGATAAAACGTTATAATAGTTTAAATAAACATTCTTTTTTAAGTTGCAAAAAAGCTTTAATTCAGAAAATAACGAAGTGGTATTCATTAAAAATGCATAACTCTAGATACAGTCAGATAAAAAAATTTGCTACGGCAGCAAAAGCTACTTTTAAAATCGAGGTATATGAATGCTTACAAGTAAAAAAAAACTCTAGCGAACTCGTAAAATATTCCATTAATTTACTTTGCAGAAGCCATTCAAACTCCACAAATTAGATAACGGCCCAGCATCCACGGTAACTTTGACTCCAGAAGATGCAATCAAAATTTATGAAAACTTGGTAATGCTAAGACGAATAGAGAATGCGGCGAACACCATGTATAAAGAAAAACTAATTCGGGGATTTTGTCATTTGTATACAGGTCAAAATAATATACAATGTAGTCATTACCGAATTTACTTTTATAAGTATTTCTATCTACCTCTAACTAATAACCAGGTCAAGAAGCAGTAGCCGTGGGCATACGTTCAATGCTTCGGAAAGTGGACACAGTAGTGACGTCATATCGCTGTCACGGCTGGGCGCAGTTGATGAGTGGTGATATGTTCGGTGTGCTCGCTGAAATCGCCGGCTGTAAGTCCGGACGGTCGCGGGGTAAAGGTGGCTCCATGCATATATACGCAAAGAACTTTTATGGCGGGAACGCGATCGTAGGATCTCAGGTTTGACATGTATTTTTTTTTAATTTTAACTTTAAGCTAAGGTAAAGATAATACAGCCATGCGGTTGATTTTATTTCTGTTGGGTCTTTGATGAAAAAAATTAGTTATTGAGTAAAGGTGCCGGAAACTCAGTCTCTTCCCCATTGTTTCCTTACGTTTTTGATGCTTAAAAATGAAAGTATTTCTAACTCTATTCCAATGTATTTTTGGATCCGTTACTGATTTAATCAAGTAATCTATCAATTCAAGATTCCGTTGGGCGCTGGTATTGCATTCGCTCATAAGTATCGCAACGATGGTGGCGTTTGCTTTGCCGTGTACGGTGATGGCGCGGCTAACCAGGGCCAGGCGTTTGAGGCTTACAATATAGCGAAGCTTTGGAATCTGCCGTGTGTGTTTGTTTGTGAAAATAATATATACGGTAAGTAAAAACTTTTTAATAAATCATTATCGTAATGATGACAATATTTTAAGAAAGAACTAATGACTATATGCGAAGAATGTGACAAACTAAAAGATTTTCTTGTGATGTCAAAATTTGGTCAAAACCCTAAGTTTGATTTGATTTTGTTATATTTTGTTTATTATTTTAGACATTTCTGTTCCTGTGTATTAGGTTTTATTGTAGTATGATATAGTTGGGTTATACGTAAACTTTTACACCTATAGTGGAATGAACTATTGTTGTTTATATCTTTGTGTAGGAATGGGCACAAGCATCAAACGATCGTCAGCCAGCACAGAGTTTTATAAACGTGGCGATTATATCCCCGGTGTCTGGGTAGATGGAATGGACGTTTTAGCTAGTAGAGAAGCTGCACGTTATGCTATCGAACACTGTAATAGTGGAAAAGGTTTGTAACAAGCGAATTTTTTTAAATTCTCGAGGTCAAAGGTCAAAATGTAGAGATGACCTGATTTTCGTCCGAACATCGATTTTAACTTTATCAATTATCAGGTCCGTTAATTATGGAGATGGAGACTTATCGGTTCACCGGACATTCTATGTCCGATCCAGGAACGTCGTATCGGACGAGGGAAGAAGTAAAACAAATGCGAGAGAATAGAGATCCTATCAAAGTGTTTAGAGAAAAAGTTACTAGCACAGGACTGGTAACAGCAGCGAAACTTAAGGTACTTTTAAAAATATTTGTATGAATTTCTTCATTCAAACGCAATATTTGGCGTGTTTTGTCCGTTCTAAGCATTCCACTTTTTAGTTTTCTACTTTCCCTATTAAACAAGATGTTAACAATGTTTTAAATTTATTTGTTGATAAATTTACCTTCATTACTTTGTAGGAACTTTCTAATCGCATACGCGAAGAAGTTAATGACGCATTTGAAAGAATAAAAGTTGAAAAAGAAAGCGGTCCAGAAGATCTTGCTGCAGATATTTATCAAAAAAATCTTCATCCATCTATACGTGGCATAATACCTAATGCGCCATTGGCACACGCAAATTTTTATAAACAGGAAAATGATTTTATTCCATTGGAAAAGAAAGAGAAAAAAAATTAAGTTTCGATTTACTACAAAATTTGCATATCCTTAAGAAATAATATTTGATTTTCAAGTAATGAAATATGATTTCTTGAGATAAAATTATGTGATGTAAATAACTTGTGAATAAACAATTTCAGAGACTTGTGGTAAGATTTTTACATTTGTACAAAACCTTATAATGGAACGTATGGTAAGTGGCGAGATGACCTTTTTGTCCTCATGAAAAGCTGTCAACTGTTTGCGTTACTGTCATGTTGTCAAATGTCATTTGCAGTATAAAACGTCCGGGGACGGCTCTACAGAGATTTTAATACATTTCTTTCCAATAAAGTGATCCATATTTTGGATCACAGTTTTAATCTGGGTTTTATTAAAAACATCTTAGAAACAATGAGTAAATTACTGCCATCTGCTGCCAAATTTCTAACTTCTTCCACTATCCCGGTACAGTGTTTGGTTCCTTTTTTAAAAAAAATTGTATGCATTTAAGTGATATTATATGAATGGTGATGATTTTGTTGTAGAAAGCTGCCGCCCCGGTAGTTTCGTCATCAAGCTCGAAATTCAGCACGAAATCTGAAGCTACATTTGAAATTAAGGTTAATATTTGCCTTACAATGGCTTAATTTTTTTTTAATTTTCAACGATAAATTATTAGACTAGCAATATATGAAATAGTTAATTAATTATGCTTCGCTCTAGTTAGTACAAGGAAAGTTTTATGTTTAGCAAATTATGTAACATAACCTTCAAATGTCAAGTGTAAGTTGTTTGATTATCGTATCTATGATTAGTTCAGCAATGTTTACAAATTTTGAAAACTAATCGAGGACTTATATGTCCTAACACGAAAACATATCCATACATTGTACTTAGTAAACAGATTTAACAGGTAAATTAAAAAAAAAAGTTGATCTAGAGTATGACTTTGTTATACTCTTTACGTTCAGTTACAAGGAGATGGGAATACAACTAAATATGTAAGAAATCTATCTGTTTATTTATTCCATTAGTAAAGGTGAATTATATCTAACTCAATGTTCCGTTTACATAAGACAATAGTTGACATAAGCATTGTGAAATTATTCCACATCTCTTAAATGCATTGTTATCTTGTTGTTTATGGTGTAAACTATTTGTTTCTAGCCCTACAAACTCCATAAATTGGAGCAGGGACCAGCAACATCAGCAACTCTTTCCTCTGAAGATGCACTCAAAATGTATGAGAAGCTTGCAATGCTACGAAGAATTGAAACTGCGTCAGGCAATTTGTACAAGGAAAAGATTATTAGAGGCTTCTGTCATTTATATTCAGGTAAATATGATACAAATTTAAAGCTTCTTTGTTTTAAACACAATGTTCATAGGAATTTTTGTAATCAAAATATTCCTATGTATAGTTATTTCATATCAAAGTTGTTCACTAAGCTTTAGTAAACTTCAGTGTAGTTTTTCACTTTCATAGAAAGTTTACTAAAATATGGAAAAATCATAAAGTTATAGAGTGTGTTAAGATTTACAAAAAATTAGACTGTTCATGATGTAAATTGTATCCGTAACCGTGAGTTTCTGAAACCAAAAACTGCATTTAAAACACATTGTTATGTCTGTTTTGTCAAAGATTATGACATGTGTAACAATATGTTTTAAATGGAGTTTTTGGTCTCAGAAAGTCACACTTAATGTTTTATTTAGGCCAAGAAGCCGTAGCTGTTGGTATGAGAGCTGCAATGCGTGATGTAGACTCTGTGATCACTGCCTACCGTTGCCATGGATGGACTCATCTTATGGGTGTCAGCGTTTTGGGAGTACTATCTGAGCTAACTGGACGTAGAACTGGCTGTTCAAGGGGCAAAGGTGGTTCTATGCATTTATACGGAAAGAATTTCTATGGTGGCAACGGTATTGTTGGAGCTCAGGTAAATACCAGTATTTTTTATATATTAGCTGTTTCCCGCGACTGCGTCAGCGCATTATTAAAAAAACTTATGTGATCTTCCAAGCAAAAAATGTGCAAAATTTCATCAAGCTCTGTTGTACTGTTCCATAGATAACTTCAAACAAACATACATCCATCCATCCAAACATTCGCATTTATAATATTAGTAAGATGAGTCGCTTGATACATCTCTGGGATAAAATCTACAATTATTGAACAAATATAAATGGAATTCACCAATGTCTTTCCAACCAAATAGGATGTTCTAAAGAGTACAATAGGTATTTTCTTACCCTTCCAATTGATCTTTATATTTTTAAATAGTTGTATACAAACTGTTTTAGGCTCCTTTGGGTGCTGGTATTGCATTAGCACATAAGTATCGTGCCGATGGAGGTGTTTGCTTCACATTGTATGGAGACGGAGCTGCCAATCAGGGACAGTTGTTTGAAGCGTACAACATGGCCAAGCTATGGGACTTACCTTGTGTGTTTGTCTGCGAGAACAATGGATATGGTAAGTTTTGTATATTTATATACTAGGAGTCACCTGCAATTTCGTCTATGCAGAATTTAAAAAAAAAAACGTAGCCAAAAATATGCCCAAGTGCGTTCTTCCCGTTAATATCCCGTCAAAATTGGTCTATCTGTTCCTGAGTTTGCCCACAATAATTGCGGCTTCCGGATAGACAGACAGACGAACATTTTACTTTTTGTTATCATTTTATTTCTTCTTTCGTTATCAGCAACGCATTATTTGCATAAGATATGAAATTATTTCATCTATGAAAAAATATAGATAAGTTGATAGACATTTTGCTAGTGGAAATGGACACTTATAAATATTTTATGTATTTATTACTTTAAGGTGATGGTCTTGATTTAAAATGGAAGTAAATTAAGTGATCTCATATATTAACTAGTGTTTTTGTGTTTGAATTCATTTAAATGCAACAAAATATATTTTTATTTATTTACAAACATTAATTAATGACTTACTTTAGATATCACAACGGTGATGTTCTTTGTTTCTATTCTTTAAATAAAATATGTTGCTTTTTGCAATTGTTAAAAATATTATTTATTTCTCCATTTTTACCTTGTTGGAAAAGGGTGGGAAAGGCAAAGTAGTAATTGGTTACCAGAATTTGCACCGATCCCAATATGTGGGGTTCTTTAAGATGACAAATATGCAAGTGGCCATCTAGATTCGCTTAAATAGCGCAACGACCACTGCCCATAGACAACTACGAATGCTGATGTGTTGCCTATGTTTATACGAAGGAGGGGTGAATGCAAAGGAAGAGGATATTTCCTATGCATCCTCTTTGTTAAGTCTATGTGTTTTGCCCGCAGTAGTAGATATGTCATTTGTAGAATATTACAATATATGTTTTGATATACATATGTAGATTTATCCAATATTCATTCCGTGAAGGAAAACATCAACCTGATGATGCAACCTGCATATGTCTGAGAGCGGGTTCAAAGATATATAAGTGTGAAATCAACCAATCCCGCCCTTGGCCAGCGTGGTTGACTATGGCCTAATCACCCTTAATTTAGGGTAGGCTCCGAGCCCCTCGGTGGGGACGTATAGTGAGCTGATGATGATGAAGGCAAGCCCCACTGGGCCAATGTGGTTGACTATGACCTAGTCACTGACTTAGGGTAGGCTCCGAGCTACTCATTGGGGACTTATAGTGAGCTGATATCTTTCCAGGTATGGGTACAAGTGTAGACAGATCATCAGCCAGCACAGACTACTACTCCCGCGGGGACTATGTGCCCGGCATCTGGGTTGATGGTATGGATGTTATCGCTACAAGGGAAGCAACGCGTTATGCTATTGACTACTGTAATAGTGGAAAAGGTAAGTCTAAAGAAGATTTTTAATTGATTTTAATAATATATATGGGTATTTGATTTTTTTTGTTTAAAAAAAAATAGTTGTACGGGATTATAGTTTCCTCAACTCCACTATTAGTGTTTATTCTGTTGAATATTTTAAACTTTTTTTTAATAGCATTGTTTTTTTTCTTGTAAAATAATATAAGGATGTATGTTTTTTAAATTTTTTTATCGATAATTTTTTTTTTGTATTATTCGATTATAAGTTTAACTTTTATCATTAGAAAAAAGGTAACTGGATGCTTACAGTGGGGTTTTAAATTTTTTTTAACATTTTTCTGTTTGATTCAATCGTTCCATATAGCAATTCCAATAGCCAATAAAACAGAGTTTATTCGTTAAATAGTCTATTGGATAGCTTATTTTTTTTTCTTTGATGTCTTCTATCAGCTGTTACTTTCTCCAGGTCCATTGGTAATGGAGATGGAGACATACAGATACTCGGGGCACTCTATGTCTGATCCTGGCACATCGTACCGCACACGTGATGAGGTGCAGGAGGTGCGCCAGACTAGAGACCCCATCACCTCCTTCAAGGAGAAGATCCTCAGCAGGGAGCTGGTTACACCTGATCAACTCAAGGTAAGTGGACTTAGCTGCACGTAGGTTCCACAAGGTTTCTTAACCTTTTCCACGAGAAATTTGAAGGAGGAGAAGAATAATAATTTTGACTAGACGGAGAAGGGGAAATATTTTCTTGCTGTACATCCACTCCTCCATCATTTAAGGTAACTGCAAATGTGGATGTCTATGGCAGCGGTCACTTCGCTATTTTAGCGAATCCAGGTGGCCGCTCGCTCGTTTGGCAACCACCAAATGTAAAAAAATTGTAAATTGTTAGGAAATCGACGCGCAAGTCCGTAAAGAGGTGGACGAGGCCACCAAGCAGGCCAAGACGGAGCCCGAGGTGGGAGTGGAGGAGCTCACCGGAGACATCTACAGGAACAACCTGGAGACCCTTATCCGCGGCCTGCACCCCGCCGCACCACTCCAGCACTATGAGGTCGCACCACGAAACTGAACCTTATGGATAAGGTAATAGAGTTCATTTTTACCATTAGTACATTTGTAATACATTAGAATTGTTTATGTCCTGTTTACATTATTCCAGTCCCGTTTAATCCAGTGCTGGATTGTAAAATTGAAAAATGTAAACTCATACTTGAATGCACTATTTGGTTTCAGTGTGGAAATTTTTTGCTATTTTTTTATAATGTTGGGATTCCACTGTCGGAAAAAATGTTACAGATTGTCATCCCTCTCGTTTTCTTTGTAAAAAACAGAGATGGCAATATGTTTTTGTAGACATTTCTACAGTGGAAATTGATTTTTTAATTCATGCAAGAAATAATAAATAAAATCGATTTTTAGAGATATCGATTTAAGCCGTCGATTGATTGATTTTTTTTATTAAATAATTACTATTTACATAGAATAATAAATAAGTATTGTAATTTGGATTAGTAATGTATTACAAATATATTATTGGAAATCTAGTAATTGTTATATATTTAGATATTTTCAAAGGAATTAAATGAATATCATTGTTAGGAATCTTTTAATGTAGATTAATTTAAAAAAAAACTTGTTCAAGGAGTTTTTACACTTTAGCAGCCATTAAATCTAAGAAAAAAGAAGAAATTAAAACTTTTGAATTTAGTAATGTCAGATCAGTTTTCTATGTCTTTCTGTTATTCATGTTCTACAATATTAACACATTTTTCTGCAGACAAGGGTTTTTTTTATTTGTTGTACAAAACTCCTTAAAATTAAATTTTTATTCTTTGATCAGGATATGTTTTTTAATTTCCATATGAGATTTTTTTTAAATATTTGTTTCGTTATAAGGGTAAATGTTGTCTACTTTGAGGTTATCACTTTTAGTAAAATTTCTACATAAACGGATCATGAGAAAATATAATTTATTAAATGGTATTATCAAGAATTTGTTTTATTTATATTTTGTTTAGTTGTAGCATACGACTCCGTTCACGCTGAAATAAAAAAAAACTTTAGTAGCCTATGTGTTCTTCCAAACTATGTTCTACATCTGTGCCAAATTTCATTAAAATCCGTGCATATATTCTGGAGATAACTTCCAACAAACAAACATCCATCCATCCATTATTAAAATTTTAACCAGATTTTGACTGATATAAATGTATACTAAGTTTTTTTCATATCATAAAGTGGCAAACGAGCGAGCGACCACCTGAAATCGCTGAAATAGCGAAGTGACCGTTGCCCATAGACATACGCAATTGCATATGCGTTGCCTACCTTTAATCGACGGAGGAGAGGATGCACAGAAAGAAAATATTTTCCCTTTTCATGCATCTCTTCTCATGCGGAAAGTCCACTTCCGCTTCCCATCCTTTCCCTATAAGAAAAACGGTGGGAAGGGAAAGAGGACTAAATCAGGCCTCCGGAACGCAGTTCCAAAATAAGTACCTAAACTTTGTAAAATGACAGTAATTTTACAATTTGCCGTGTAAATTGTAATAAAATGCTTTTAAAATGGTCACCGCAAATATGATACACCGGCATATTTACATTTTGAAAATAAATTACACATTTTAAGCTTTCGATTTATATTTTGAGCATAACCTAAAATATAATTAACTATACAAATGCTAAATTTACATATAATTACAGCTTTTTTTGATATATCTATAAAAATATTCAATTATACTTTTTTTTATTAGTAAGCACAAAAAACAAAAAAAGGTTACAGGTTAAAACATCGCTTAAGATTAATTTAACAATCATTTACATTATAATTAGCTAACTGTAGGTTTCTGAGAGCAAAACCAACGTTTAGTTTTCTCTGTTTTATCAGAGAATGACAGGTTAAGGGTTTTTATACGAGATTTTGGTTTCAGAAACCAACTGTAAAACAACTATATAATGTTTACAGACTACTTTCGACCTCGGTCGGTCCTTAGAACCTTAGGGAGTGCCTTAGTGTTGTTTTAAAGTAACGTCTAATATGTTATCCATTTTTTCAACAATTTTTTTTTACATTTTACGTGCCTCCGGCTGTGAGAACACTAATGAAATACATTATTAGTCGCCCTTTGTTCAAATTCGATCAAATTAATAATCAAAAATAAAAAAATTGTATTTTTACACTCTTTCACCATAGTCACTTTATTAATTATTATTATTATTTAAATAGGCACACGCGTTAAGGCACGTTTAAAGCGAATTAAAGAGATAAGCTATAAATAGAATTGCCACGCAATAATAAAAATCATATTTTATTTGTCACGTATTACTCCGGCAAAATTTATTACAAAATGACCATTGTTTTGTATCGGAATCTTTAAATAAGGCCAATGAACTTTATACGTGTTAAAAAAGAAAATACGATTTTGTTCTTTGTCTAGTTTTGACATGTCGAATTTTTATAATATTAAAGTCTGGCAACGCATCTGCAAATGCCAATGTCTATGGGCAACGATCGCTTCGAATCCGTATGGTCGCTTGGTCGTTTGCCGCCTTATATTATTAAAAAAAAAACAGATGTTTATCAACTCAAATTGTGTTCAAAAAGGTATTAATACGAAATTAAATAGGTAGACCTTTGAGAATCCTAGTGTTTTTTTTTATATGTCGAATTAAATACTAATAATTAAAAACTATAGCATAAAACTTATATTCTACATAAATTATTTAGTAAGCTACAATTTTCATCAATTAACATATATTGAAAATCCGTAACATTTTATTTACAATAGTTTTTTTACAAATACAAATGAATTTGATTATTTCCTATATTACATTTAATTACAGTGGAGTTGGTAAATAACATGATTATTTTTTTTACATCTACAAACAAATACAAATCTTATATATCTGGATGGCTCGGGACACAGTGCAAGTCGTTCCGAAAAACACAATTTTAGGTACAGCGGGGCGTAGCGGGGGAGGGCACTGCGCAGCGCACCTGATTACCCTGAGCGGGCAAGATATTTGAAAAGAACTATACATTACAACATAGAATAGCTTTTTGTACGAGTGTTTCGGTCTTAAAAATCTGGAGTCAAGGTCAATATTGATATTGACCTTGAGTTGAGTTGAGGTTAGTTAAAAGGTACGTAAGATAAAAAAGGTCTTTTAAAGGGAATGTCGGGATTCGGATAATACAGGTGGGGAATGTTTAAGGAATGTCTAAAAGGATTGGATAAATAAGGTGCTAACAGAAAATTTATATATGTAATATAAAAATATGTTTGTCAGCTTTTTACATTTTAATGATTTGTATTAGTAAAGCAATAATACATAAATATAATAAGTTAATTCTAAAAACACGTCTTAACAAAAAATTTAACACTTATATTTTAAGATTTCATATATAAGTACTGTAATATTCAAACTTTATGGCAACTCGAATTTAGTTGCGAACCCACCCCAATCCAGCCCGCGTATACGAAGTAACATTCTATTCGTGACATCAACAAAATGAGTGAGAATTAATAGATGATAAGCAAATGGTATATCGAGAGTTATTGTCAGTTCCATACATTTTTGATATTTTTAATTACCTTAATCGCTAGAAGAATGTTACGTTTTCTAGTGAGCAGTCTACTACTGGTGGAGATAAACTGTGGGTTCGACACTTATGTTATTATATATTGCTGACTTTGTTTTATCAAAGAGAATGAAAGAGATGACAATATATACTACAAGAGTCATCATTAAGATTGTGCGTATGATAATCCGAGCAGCCATAAAGTTTGGATGGTACTGTAGGTAAATTATTGAAATAATACTTTTGAACTTAATCTAAGCAGCACCACTCTCTCCTGTTTCGTCCACTTCTTCAATAAACCCGCACTGAAGTTCATACAACCGAGCGTAGATTCCTTTTCGCGCCATTAATTCAGCGTGATTTCCCATCTCAGCCACCACGCCTTTGTCTATGACACAGATGATATCTGCGTTCTTTATGGTCGCTAGTCTATGAGCGATTATAAGACACGTGCGCCCCTCACTAGCACGGTCTAGCGCTTCTTGTACTACCTATGAAAATAAAAAAATTAAAGAATTGAATTTCAAAGAGGGGATCCATCAGACACGGCACGTGTGCACGGTTTTAAAACTTGAAGAAAAAATGTAGCAATACTGAAATCAATAAAATTTTGAAAGGAATCTACGAGATAATAAAGTTTGGGAATCTCCGACTTAAAGTAATAATTTTGAGTTACCGTTAGTTTGCACTTGCAGATGTAAACATATAGTCTTCCCACTCATTCCCTTGGAAAAAAAACAGAGATAACAATATGACCGTACTCCGTACCTTTTCGCTGTGTGTATCTAATGCGGAAGTTGCTTCGTCTAGTAGCAACACTCGCGGGTTACGCACGAGGGCGCGCGCGATAGCTATCCGTTGTTTCTGTCCTCCTGACAATTGTGATGCGCGCGCGCCGATACGAGTTTCATATCCCTAGTAAAAAATAAAACACATGAAATCTTATAGAACGAATCCACTGTTAGGATATGGTTCTTAATTTAGTATAATTTCTTACTAATATTATAAATATGAATGTTTGGATGTATGGATGGTTTGATTTTTGTTAGTTTCTCCATAACGGTTGCATGGATCTCGTTGAAATTTGGCATAGATGTATCACATAGTCTGGAATTTTAATTCCGTTTAGGAGTCGCAATCTTAAGCTGCCGAAGATAAAAATTATGTTTTTTTTAAAGGAAACAAGATAATGTTTTTATGTGAATATTTTGATAACTCACAGTGGGCAATGCTGCCACAAAAGAGTGTACGTTCGCTTCTTTCGCTGCTTTGACAATCTCGTCCATAGCCACAGTCCTCGTGTTATCACCGTATGCGATGTTCTCTGCTATGGTGCGGTCAAACAGCACCGGCTCTTGTGACACTATTCCCAGGTTCTTACGTAGCGTCGGTAAATTCATGTCTCCTGCTATACTGTTGTCATCCATGTACTAGGAGGACATAAGACTTAAGTGAATTAAATATTTCGTACAAAGTAATTTGAGTTGAAGCCAATATTTAGGCAAAGGGCGCATTTTTTGTGTTGAAATATGACGCTTATTATGACGCCACGAACCCACATCTGCTCTACGGGACCTCTACGTTATTCTAGGTCTTAATTTTTGAGGTGATTCTGTGGGGCTAGACAAAGTGTATTCGCTCAGAAGCGATTCCATAACAAACTAGAAAATGTATAGAACAACCAACAAGGCAATAACTTTCCATAAGTCAAGTGATTGACTCGCGTCAGTAAAATGTATGGAACATTTTTGAAATTGGTAAAGGAACCGCTTCGGAGCGATTGCATTTTGTCTAGCCACATTAAATTACCAATTTTTGTTAGTAAAAGCAAACCTGTAATTTTTTAAACCACTAATAACCATAGATTTTCTAACACTCTTTAAAGCAATGGAGGTAGCAATGTTTTGGGATGGATATTTTACTAGTAATCTTTGTTTGTACCTACCACATAACCTTCATCTGGATCATAGAGGCGTTGCAACAGTTGTATAAGTGTTGACTTGCCGCAGCCACTTGGTCCCACCAGTGCGATACGTTTCCCACTTGGAATGGCTAGCGATAGTCCGCGTAGGACCTCCACCTCACGCCGCGTTGGGTACCGGAACTTTACGGTTTTGTACTGAATCTTACCAGCTGCTATCTATAGATATAATTTATATTTAGTATTTGATATCAATTGCAATTATATCTTCAAAGCGTTCTTAAA